AAGAATCGATAACTTGAAAAAGTGAGGCGTAAAATTGTTGCTAGCGTTCACTAACGATTGCTAAAATGTGTGACCTATAATACCACATTGGTATTACGTCAGATGTACACCCGAAGACAAATGTAGAGTTAAAAGTAATGAGATAAAAATTTCCAAGTGATAATGATTGAAAATAATTAAATATTTTTTTATTTATCAAGTAAAAATACGTTCTTAAAATCTTATTCTTATTCCGATAAAATTAATAGATTTTTAATCATTAAATTAAATCAAATAAATGTTTTAAATTTCAAGCTATTAATTTTACACATGAATTGTTATACTTAATCATTCAAAAATCCGACCTATAAGAAAATTTAATTATTTTCGTCCTCCAAAGCTCATTGCGATACCACTACATTCAATTTTTTTTATGGACATAAGGAATTCCCAAAAATAATTCTTTTTTTTTTTTTTACCGAGAATCATCTTGTCATAAACTCGACGGTTGACAAATCTTATTACAAAAAAAGAAATCTGAAAAACAATTGACCCTGCGGGCCATTCATCGAACTTCCCGTTATGTACAAGCTCAAAATACTTACAAAATTTCTACACTGAAAAAAAAATCAACTTGAATCAAGAGAAAAATTCTTGAACCAAGAAAATAATTTTGAAAAGTTTTATTGTCTTGAATCAAGGCGAAATATTCTTGAATTAAGTAAATTTTACTCATACAAAAAAAAAATTTCTTAGCTTAAGAATTTTTCTACTCAAATCAAGGAGATGAAGTTTTTCAAAATTATTTACTTGATTCAAGTTAATTTTTTTTTCTGTGTAATTACGAGGTTTTGAGCTATTCGTGTTCAAAAATAGAGCAGTTATATAATTCAAGCTTCTCGAGCTGTGTGGGTAGAGCACTATTTTGAATACTTTGAACTGCAATATCTCTATAACGAATTAAATGATATCGACTTTCTTAAAATCTATCGTGCCGAATTGGTTTAATTTTTCAGGAAATCTAAGTTCACTGAAACTTTTTTAAATGCTGTATATGACGATTCGATCGGCCAAGCCATTGATATATTGGGCGTGTTTGGCCGAAGTTAGTACTTACTAAATTTAGTAAGTCACTCACTATACTTACAAAATTTTCGGCCGGGGCACAAAATAAGTGCTAACTATGAAGGGTAAAAGTACTTATAGTCAGCTTGTAAGATTTTAATTTTTTTATGCTAACTGGCTTACTAAGTTTAGTAAGTACTTACTTCGGCCAAACACGCCCGATTATGAGAAGTTTAATAACTTCCCGTTATGAAAATCAATAATTTTAGCGGTTCAACATTTTTTTTTCTTTGTCGCCTTGTCTTAGAGTTGGTCTTGATAAAAAAAATCTAATGATTATGTGTGTGTTATAAAGTATCATTCATTTTTCGTACGTGTTTTTTATTTTTTTTTAATCATTAATTTGAATTAAAAAAATAAAAAATAATTTTTTTCCTCAACTAATGAAATGTTTTAAAGCATCAATCTTTTATAATATATATACTTATTTCATAGTTGTAAAATTACACTGATAAAAAAATCATGTGAATCCAGCAGAATCACTTTAGAATTAAGTAAAATTTACTTGAACCAGTTACAATTTTTTAATTCTAAAATTTTTCTGCTCGATTTAAAATGATCAAATTTTTCTAGATTAATTTCTTGCTTTAAAATTTTTTTTCTGGAATCAAATTAAGTTTCTTATCAGTGGTCTCTCCTGCAAACTGTTTGTTATCAGTGCATAAAGAAAGTTAAACTTTTAAAAGATTACAAACAATTACGGATTGCGATTATCGTAAAAACCGGTTTAGAGCGAGTTTAAAAAATTTCTCCTGATGATATTTAAAAATTACACTCGTATAATAATTATGAACAATAAATAGTCATAAATAAAAACAAATTAACAATTTCAGAAAAGTGACAAAATAATCCTGTTATAAATAAGTAATGTTTTTAATTGAATCAATGACTCACTAGAAGCAATATTTGACTCTTGTATTATCTAATACATACATTGATATAGATAAAACTTTAGTTTGTTATATTTTATTAATGACCCGCTAACAATGTTAATTTATGTATGTACATTACATAAACACAAGGTAATAATGAGGTTCACGTTCACATAACACTTGTGAAAAAAAATATTACTTCAATTCAATATTTTGTTATTATGCAAGTCTAATACCGACTTTTAAAACAAACAATCGTATTTAAATTAAAATTTCCATTTAGTTAATCACACCCGTGTAAAAAAAAAATCGTCTTAAAATTGTCTTAAAATTGTCGTTCGTTTAAGATCTTAAATGTGACACAAATTAAGACTATTTTAAGATTCTTTTAAGATGCCAAAAAAAAAAATTCCGAGATTTTTTAATAATTATTTTAATTTTTTTAAGACTATTTTAAGATTTTTTCAAGACGATTTAAAAATTTTTCTAAGACTATTTTAAGATTTAAGTTTTAAAATAATTTTTAAGTAGTCTTGAAAAATCTTAAAATAGTCTTAAAGAAATCTGAAAAAAAAAAATATTAAAAAATTGCAGAAATCTATCTATTGCATTGTCGAAATTCACACGGAATTTTGTCATTTTATATCTTATTTAGTCGAGTAAGGCTCAAAATTAGCATTGGTTCAAAAGTTTATATATTTATGTATATATACGTGATATATAACGCGGCTTGTGGACAAAACGCACGGAACGTCTTAAAAAAGTCTTAAAATTGTCAGATAATAATTTTTAACAATTTTAAATTCAATTTAAAACATCTTACTCAAAAATATTGCGGTTAGAAAGTCGTAAAATCATCTAAAAATTAATTTTCACAACAAATTCGAGAACAAAATTTTCAAAAATCTGCTCTCGGAATTTTTCTTTTGGCGTCTTAAAAGAGTCTTAAAATAGTCTTAGTTTGTGTCACGTTTAAGATCTTAAACGAACGACAATTTTAAGACAATTTTAAGACGATTTTTTTTTACACGGGCAGTTTATTCACAATTTGACGATTCTTGCATTAGAAGATATATTCATTGTTTCTCAGAATAAGGAGACTTTCAATGATACTTATTAATTTTTTGTATTCAGCTCACGTTAATTTTTCATTCAAACTTACAAACACATTCCATAAAACATCGACTGGTTTTTAAATTATCATAAAAAATTTATTATGCACATATTGTAAATTTAATTTAACATTTGAATTTTCAATTTACATAAATTGAATTTTCTTTTTATTTTATAAAATTATGGAAATTTAAAATTTAAGTGACTAGCGACATCTTTCGGAAAAGCAATCATCTAACTGTAGGTACAAGCGGCCACCATTTTATCTACAGTATCACCCGCCATTTCATCCGATAAAGAAACTTGTTGAATTTTTTTATTTATATATTTTTTATTAATTTATTTGTAGCTGATACATATGGACACATTATTGACGCAGATGTTCCAAATCCAGAAGTCAGGGCAGCATTAATTTAAATAATTTATCATTCATCATTCTTTATATTTATTTTTCTGTCATATACATCTATATATTTACCTTTATCATTGTTCTTTCATCAGAGTCGAGTTTTGCAAACAGAGATAAAATGCAATTGGCGGATTTCATGGTATAATTACCAAAAAACAAGTTCAAAAGAGAGCAAAAAAACAGCAAGAGTAAAAATCAAGTCAAGACAGACCAAGACCGAGAAATCATATTATTTAGCTTATCATCAGACATCCATGTACGTAAATGTACATACCAACAATCAGAGCAAGTCTCAAGTACACAATACACAATAGACAATGTTCGTGACTTTTATCATAATAATATTAAATATACATTAAATATAATAATGTAATATAATCTAAGTTTTAATACTAGGTAATAAGAGAAGGGGAAATTTTATTGGCGACTGTTTTACACCCGTTCTACGGCGTACGTCAATCAGTAGCAGGTTTTTTTTTTTTTTTATATCTTATTTAATGTCGTCAGTTTATATTAACACAAGTCAACACCCGTTCGCTGTTCACTGCTTATGCTGTATATATATATATATGTATATATTCATTACATTAGTTGTATATATACATATACAATCGGTTGTTTAGATTTATTTCGAGCTTAGACGCATATCAGGAAGGAAGAGTGACGCGTTAGTACCGGAGGAATATGTAATTATTGTGACTTAAATTTATTATTTTTTTACAAGTTGAATATTGCTTTATTTTTCTATTGTTTGTAATTTATTATAAATAATTATTTAACGGTTCAGAATAACGTGTTTTGTTGGATAAAAGTGATTTTTATGCGTGTTAACCTAGAAATAGGATTGTGTTTATGACATTTGTTTGGAATTTATTTGGTAATAATTGTTTATTGATTTTTATAAAATAATTGTCTTATAAAAGTGATGAGTGAGTTGTTTTGTATGTTAGAATTAATATACGTGGGTCTGTTATCAATGTTACTTTAATTGACAATCAATGCGTTTCATATAAAATTATGAGTTTATTTATAAATTTAATTTATGACGTATTTTTATCATTTGAAATATAAAATTTTAAGATAATATTCAATATTTTCAGAGTCTGGGATTGTCTTAACAGACTTATGGGAAATAACAATAATAAAAGAGAAAAACAGATTCAAGGTTAAACATGTTAGACATTTAGATTGTGAGTTATTTATTTCTGGAGCAGTGTAAAGAATTGTATGACTAATGTTTTTTTTTTTTTAATTATATAATATAATATGATGTAAATTTGATAATTATATTTTTATGTAAATATGAAAGTGCTTTTATTTATAAATTTGTTTTGTGTTTGATGTGTTACAGGTATTTGTGATTTTTTGAGAATAGAGGATCGTTGATTTACTGCTACTTGTTCTACAACAACAACAATAACCACTACTACTACTACTACTAATTCTACTGCAGTAATAATAGTATAAGTAAAAATAAAAACAAGTGGCCAAAGAAACATGTGATGCGACTTTTACGAAACGGTGTTGCATGGTTGAGATGCATTATACGTCGATATCCCACGATTTGCCTGGTGAATTTTTTCCTTCACACCAAGGATCAAAGGTCATTATTTTATTATTTATTCAATATATTATATTTCATTGTTGATTATTTAATTGTGGTTTTATTTTGTTTTATCTTGCTTGCTTTGAATTCTATTCAGGGTTGCTACTTAAGAAACGTTGATTTTTTATAACACAAGTATTACAAGGATACTTAATCAATGAAATGATTATTTTATTATTCCAACTATATGCTCAATATAGTTTTTTTTATTATTTTATTTTCCATTCTATTATTTTCAGTTTTTTAAAGAAATTTTCCATTGTTTGAATAAAAATAAAAAAATCTGAATTCCTAACAAAAAAAAATTACAATATCTTTTAAGAATTATTTATGGTATTAAATATAAATTTATCTAATTGTAATTATTTTTTATCAGCTATAGAAGCCAGTTTATCGAAAATTATATAAAATCAAAAAATAAACTTAAAAAAGATATTTAAACTTTGACACGCTGCATATTATCAAAATTTAGTTTCATTTCACAAGCCGACAAAATATTTTTTGTACTTCTTTTAATTTTATACATTTATACACTAAATATATGAACTTTAGAAACGCATTTGATGATTCATTCTAAAATATTTATAATTTAATTAAAAATATATTATATTTTTCATTTTGTAATTTATTCATGTCAAACAGGAAGTAGATAATATTTTACTCTTGAATTATTAAGGTATTTACATAGTATCTTTTGTGTTAAAACTCTGTAGTTTTATCTTGAGAACATTTATAGTAAATCATAGATAAATTTTTTTTATTTGATTAAAATTCAAAGAGGATATTTTATAAAAAATAAAACTTTTGAAAGTGTAAATTATGCACAGGAACAAATAGGCTAAAAAGTTGATAATCAGAGCAAGCAAAAGCAAAAAATATAATAATAAAAAAAACATAACTGTACGCAATTAAAAAGTTTTTATCTGTATTATGACGACAAAATGAATTATTAGTGACAAAATTGAAGTTTATTGTCAGTTATATATCTGTTGTAAAAATTTAACAATAGGCAAAATTTTCCATAGAAACTCGTAACAATCATATAATTATTTTATTATATATGAAGAATGATTCAATCAATATATAATTTATTTTTGTAGTTTAATAAAGTAATTATTCAATTTAAGGATTAAGTAAGAAATCTTGAAAATAATTTGCGACATCTTAGATAAAATAATAATTACTGGTAAATGTATCTTTAGAATAAAATTAATTTATTTTATCTGTTTTAAATTGTCATTTATTGTCGGTTCAATAAAGCAAATGCCAAACGTATCTATAAAAAAGTTATTTCCATCAGATAGTTAATTTCTCGGCTAAAGTAAAATTGCAAAACTTTTTGACAGTTTCTAATTTACTCACCCGTACAGTAATTTTGTTTAATTTTATTATTAGACAGACAAAAATCACTGTCAAAATCATAATTGTTCATTGAGTTTCATAATCACCTTTTGTTTTTCTCATTTAAAATTTATCTTTATGATATATTTATTATTTAGTCAAAAACTATTGTCAGTAAGTGTTGTAAAATTCAAATAAAATAATCCTATGAATTTTGATAAAAAAATCAGTGATTGCAAAGATTTTATTAATTTTGTTAAAAAAAGTTTGCTAAATTGAATCAAAGTTTCATAAACTTCATGAATAATTCCAATAAATTTGTTTTGTTATCTACAACAATATTATCATAAGCTTCACACGTTCAATTATTAATAATAATAATAATAATCTGATGTTTAATTATTGTCATTAAAAATCAAGAAACTTTTAATGAATTCAGAAACAAAAAGTTGAAAATGAATAAAATAAATTAATTGATAATTTAATAAAATGTCTGGTAGCAACTCTGGAATAATTAAAAATAAAAAATTTATTTTATTTGAAAAAAGGAATAACTTGTAATTAACAGCTTGTGTAACTTAGAGATTAGTGAGTTTTATTTTGTTTTGAATTATCAGGATAAATATTTTGCCAATGATACTAACTCCTCCAGTGGTAACTTGTTACCCGGTGACATGAACCAAGGCGATAAAATTTACAAGGACCGCAAAGAGCACAAAGAAAAATATCGAGCATACCGGAAATACTCAGAGCTGACACCGCCAACTCTACATTCCTATGATAATTATGGGTTGGTCAATAGTCAAACTATTTTCATCATCAATTAATAATAATTAAAACTAATTATTGACTAGTCTCACTTGTACTATTATCTATGTCAACAATAACTAAACGTATACTTAACTTTCTCTGTCGACAATCTTTGATTTCGTAATAACATAATATTTAAATTAACAGAAACTCATTGGGAAGTAAGTCAAATTCATTACCAGGACGATCGAACACAACGCTACATGGATCCGAGCCACTGGTGGCTACTGGAATTTCACCAGAAGATCTCGCGAACCAGTTAACACTTTTAGATCTGAGTGTCTTCAAAGCAATAAGGCCTGAGGAGCTGTCGAGCTGTTCATGGAACAAAAAAAATAAACTTCTGGTAGCTCCAAATGTCGTTGCATTTACGCGACGATTTAACCATGTCAGCTTTTGGACAGTCCAGGAAATTCTTAATTTTTCGACGCCTAAACAGCGTTCGGAAATGATTGCGCATTTTATTCGGGTCGCTAAGAAATTATACGACTTGAATAATATGCATTCATTATTTGCCATTATATCCGGCCTCCAAAGTGCTCCAATATATAGGTAAGGAAAAGGCTCATTGTTATTCTTATTTGTACTTGACTTAAATTAATTAATTAATTTTTTTTTTATTTCAGGCTCAATAAAACATGGGCATGTCTTTCTAAGAAAGACAAATGTACATTTGATAAACTCGCTGAAGTATTTAGTGATAAAAATAATTGGACTAATTTACGTGAACACATGGTTACTCTTAAATTACCATGCATTCCTTATCTTGGTTTATTTCTTACTGATCTTGTTTACATTGATATGGCTCATCCACCATCTAAAGTACGTCATTCTCATTGTAATAATATAATTTAAAACTAATTCAAGATTTAAGAAGATAAAGGTGTTATAATTTTTTGCATCGGCAACTATTTATATAAAAATATATGATTTAGAAAGAATCGAATTTTTAAATTATTGTTGATTTTATATTACGTAAAACTTCTTCTCTATAAATAAAAAATGACATTTTAATCTTCTTAGATTTAATGATAGTATTTTAAAGAAATTAAGACATTTAATTTAATTTAATTGATTACAGAATAATGAAAATCATCAGCGAGCTATAAAAATGAATACTGTGCTTACAAGAGTGACAGTATTCCAAGCAAGCGAATACTCTGGAATAATTCCATTACCTGATGTACAAAGATATTTAAACAATGTTCGTTATATCGAAGAACTTCAAAAGTTTTTAGAAGACGATCATTTTAAGTAAGAAGTCATTCGTGAACATATCAACCAAACACTCAATAAGTTTTTACACACTATATCTAATATTTATTCTATTTTTAGACTGTCAATAAAACTCGAGCCTAACTCACCAGTCGCCTCGTCAAGCAGCAGTAAAGAGTCTGTAGGTGATGTCGTAACAGGTGTAGCCGCTCTTTCGTTGTCTCCCGCACGTGGTTGCGCGGGTTCTTTAAGATTACACGCGGCTTCTGCTGCCAACAAATTTGTTCCTGGTCATCGCAAATGTCGCAGCTTAGGAACAAAGTAAGTACAGTTATTTGTAAATACAGAGTGCAAATTAAATTTAATTAATATACCTAATTAAAAGAGAAAAGGTGATAAAAATCTATTTCGATTAAAAATAATAAACAGAAAATTGGGTAGTTGAATATAAATATTTCAATTAAAAAACAAAAAAAACATCCTGTGATTGTTTATTATGGCTCTGTCAGATTTCGTAGCACGAGCCTTCCACGCAACTTTCATAAGCAAGGAGGTCGATATGGAACTAGCTTTGGAACTTCTGGGTGAGTCCCGTACCAGGATCATGAGTTTTAGGGATTCAATGACATTAATAAATTATTTTACTGACAAATTTATATTTTCATTATTATTATTATTATTATTAGTACTATTTTTTTTAATGTTATAATTATTAGTGATTGGCTTTACGATAAAAATATTACAATTATGTCTATGGCACCTTGGATCAAGGCATCGTGGATTATTTAGGCTCTGCATGCGATTCATTTTTAATTACTATTTATTACACAGTTTGTGTATCATCGGTGATTAATTTTATCATTTATATTCATTTTTATCGAATTTTTATTTGTTATTTCATAGGTAAACATTTTTCATAGGTGAAAACTGACAATATTTTCATTTATGACCATTAAAAGAAATTATTATTTTATTTAGCATGGTTTATATAATTTTTTATTTTTTACAGTAATATCAAATATATATTATATATCATTTTATTAGACAAATACATTGATTATTGTTATTATTATTTAATAGTGCCTGTTAAAAATAATTGAAATATTTGATAGCGAAAGTATTGTCTTGTTCGTCCATTATCGACGGGGAATCAAAACAATCAGAATGCTTGTCATCATAATGCATGACAATATCATTTACAGTAATCATTTGATTGTATTCATTAATAATAATATTTAATATATAAATATTATTTAAATGTACATATTTGTATTTTCAGTATATTTGGTAAATCAAACGTACCACCTGTGGAAACAAATCAAGTGACTGTTCGTCATCTTCTAGATGATTCAGTGCTAGAAGAGCCTCATTTGGTATCACCAACTGTTGATTTGGATGAAAATTCACCAGAGACTCCGGTTGACTCACTCAATGACGACTGCAGTTTACTTTCTCGTGTTAGGTAATTTTATTGATAGGTTTCTTATCAAAGTATTGATATTTCACAGTGAATCAATTTAAGCTTTTAATGTTTTTTGTTTGATAATATCATTTTGTATTTTTTTTTTTGTCCAGTACCCTTCCTATTCTACCTTGTGAAATTGATGGTGTAATGGAACCACGTTGTTCGATGCAAGGATCATTAAGACGTAAAGTTATTCTAAGAGATGGCAAAAAACCAACGGTTTCAACTTGGCAAAGATATTGGATACAACTATGGACAACGTCGATCGTTTATTTTTCACCAAAATGTTTCAAAGGGTAAATAATTATTTTAAAAATTTTAAGAGTATTATATTTTGCTTTGTTCTATTTTTTATCAGTGAATATTTTATTAGTAAAAATAAAAACCATCGATACAACTTTTGCGTTAGCATTATATTTTTTTTTTTGTTAAGCTCCGGATGATCGGATTAGTCTAGAAAAAAAAATTACTAAAACTTGACTTGTTAATTTTTTTTTTGTTTTATTTGAAAGGATACAATTTTTTACACCTGTAAAAAATCATAAAAATTTATTATTCTACGTGAGTTGGTACTGATTCTATGAAACAAAAACTGAAAAAGCTTAATCTTCTTTTTGAATTAAAGCTTTTACGAATTAAATTTTCAAAGTAAAGCAAAAGTAAACATTTTTTTTTTTTTTTTTTTATCAAGCAGAATATTTGTGTTGGAGTAATCCTTTCGTCCGAAAAAAAAGGCATCATATATTCAAATCCATGGATAAAAAATTCAAATTTATAAAATTTTATATCTCACTGGTTATTAAGTGAAACAAAAAAAAAATGTTAACTTTGATTTATATTTTAAATTTAGTATTATGGAAATAATATAAATATAATACATAAATTATTTTATTCCATTCGTAGACAGTGCAAGTCAATTATCGATTTTAAAGTCACGACAGCTGCGTGACTGCTTTCATTTGAATGATTACTTGGAGCCAGTACATTGACTCCTGTTTATTAAATTATAATTTATAAAATAAATACTAATAGAGAAATGATATTTTTTTTTGCAGATGCGATAGATCCGATTTCAAACGTGAACCATACAAAATGGTATCAATATTAGGATGGATTGTTGAGTATGGTGATAGTATATTTCATCGAGACACTTTTCTATTGACTGATCCCAATAAAGGTGATTATTTATTTATTTATTTATTTATTTATTTATTCAGACGCCAATCGGCTTTATACATTAGATTTACATCAATTAAATTTAGTTATAGGTGAAAAAAGAAAATAAAAATAAAGTAAAAAAAAAGTATTAACATTTCAATCGAATTAAATTAAATCAATTTCATTTACTTTATAAGTTTAAATTATTAGCATTCTAAAAAAAAAATCTCTAAGAGTAATTATTACAAGATGAAATGAAATTGCACTTTTTAAGAGGCTAGTGGTTATTGGTTAGAAGCAGTCTTTTAACCGATGATACAAACGAAGAAATCCAAGTGTCGAATAATTCGAGGTTTAAGCAATTATCATTGACTAGATTAGCAATCCTATTTCTCGGGCTATTATACTAATTATCATTATATATTTAAAAAAATTTTTCACTAAACTAATTAAATAAATTATTTTTTACAGGTAATGTTTATAAATTTCGTGCTGGATCAAGTGAATACGCAGAGCAGTGGGTGAAAGAACTTCGCGCAATTGTTCGAGGAATGATTGATAAGAAACCAGTTCCTGCAAATCTCATGTCTTTTGAGTAAACCTTGTTTTTTCTTTTCTTTTTTTTTTTTTTTTTTGTTAAAATAACCTAATTTACACATACAGCTCATACAAATAATAATATACATGACGCTTTGTATTTAATATAATATTATTGCCAATGCGTAAGCCGAAACGGAAATTAATAACGAAAAAAAAAACAACCAATTTGCTTATTACAAACATTGAAAGCAATGCTATATGTATCACTGTGTGTGCTAATAGCTTTGCAAAAGCCTAAATTATTACGTATGTTATTATATAGTTGCTTTTGAATTCTCTCGTATTTAATTTATTTAGCTTATATTATTTAATTGACATCATAAATGTATAGATAACACTGCCAAATTTAGAGAGATAAAAAATTAATTTATTGTTTATGTACTTTCTCATTTTTCTCTCACTTAATGTCAAATAATTTTAATAGTTAGAAGCTGAGGATTTGTCATTTCATTTTATTAAATATTATATATTTCGTAGATTATATAAAATTATGCTTTTTTAGTAATAAATAATTAATAGAGCAATAATTTTTCTTTTATAAATTTTAGATGTAATAAATCGGCTCGATTTATGATGCTCTCTGAATTAAAAAAGTTTTTTTTTTATTTAAGTTTAATCACATGCTCAATTACAATAGAAATTATTAATGAATTAATGATTAATAAACTATTATTAGTTTTAATGAATAATTAATAAACGATTACTTCATTTGAATTAACATTAATTACTCAATATACTGTCGTTTATCATTTTTAAACTTATTAAAGTCAATTAATTAATTTATTGAGCCGATTAATAATTAATTGTGTAGCTTATATTTGCGTATCTAAGACTGTCAATTATATAAATAACAAGTGACTGTACAACAGTTTATAAAACTATCGACAAAATCAATTTTTGAGACTAAGTTTACATATAAATTTAAAAAGATGTCTTTCGATTGAAATTTAATCCTGTTTTATCGAATATTTATTCATAAATGAATCATTAGTTGTAAAATTTACAGTAATACGAGAGAAAAGAATGAAGTATGTTTGTAAAGATAAATTACAATTTATTTACAATGATAAATTGTAATGACAAATATTATTCAACTGTTTAAATACCAAAGGATTAAGTTGTAATTTTTTAATACAACGTTATTCTAGAAACGTTGTGACAGTATTTTTTGGCAATATCTAAACTGAAAATAATAATTAGTCTAAATGATTAAAAAAAATGGATATACAAATAAAATCTGAAAATATTCATCGTTGCTGTTAGCTTGCCTTTTTGAATCGGCATATCATTAAATATAACCGTAATATAATAGAAAAAAAATATTATCTTAATTGTCGATAAATATCCTACTCTCGAATCATTATTAATTTGTTTATTTTAAAATTATTAATTGCTATTATCAAACCTAATGTTTCAGTACCACAATTTGAACCAAAAAAATTTTATATTTATACCATTAAAGTTTTTTTTTGGAATTTGATAAGATCTTGCCTGAAACAATGTGTAATTATTCTTTGAAAACTTTTGTATTGGCTTATTTCTAGCAATAATTATTAATATATACATCAATAATTTAATATCAATTATTATTAGATATAATTAAGTCATTTGCTTCATTGTATAAACCAAAACATATCATCATTATTTTTTTTTATTTTCGATTAATAATTACGATTAGGCCACGATATTTATAAAGAAAAAGAAAAGAAGATTTTGAATGATCTGAGGCTGATTAAACTAACGTCAATTAAATGAAATGGTATGAATTTTTTTTTCTACTGAATGATGTGAATTAATTAACAAAAAAGTAATAATTAACACAAGACATTATTAAATTTAATTACTGATTATTATAATCATAAAAAATAACCTGATATTAATTTAAAGTTATATTTTATATTATTATTGTAATTATATGTTGATTTCTATTTTTATTTTTGTGTACGTGCTATAATTTAGTTTATTGTTTTAGTAACGATGCCAAAAAATATATCTATGTTGCTCTATTTTGTCCGTTAAATAGTTATTTAAATATTTAGGTGTACAATTTAGATTATTTTTTTTTATTTTATTATTGTATTACATAAGTGTAAAATCTGGTAGGATCCGAATTGACAGATTGTATTTTTTCTGGTTGTGATATTATACCTGTTGTAAATTTTGTACAAGCAAAAGGTAGAAAATTATTGTTAAATTCGTTTTTTATTTAAAAAAAAATTTTATGTTTCTGATTGTATCAATATTACCATTTTGTTCGTGTTGGTTAAAAAAATATAAGAATAAATGATCATATTATTCAATCAATTAATGATCATTGAAAATTATTAGCATAAAAAAAAAACAAAAGATAAAAAGTCCAAAACAATTAATTAGTCTATTGCGTACTAACAAAATTAGACTCTGATAAATATGTAACGCAGGTATAAGAGTAATTGATATACAAAACAAAAATTATAAATATTGCAAATTAATTTATTTTTTTATTAACCATTCCGTCATAGGAGTACAGAATGTGGCTATTGTCGTGTATGACGAAAAAGAATTAATAATAAAAATGAAAACAATTTAGGTAAAAACAAAAAAAATGTAGACAATAGACAATAGAATATAAAATACATTTGAAAGAATTATTAATTGTATTACTTATTATTTATTAACAATTACTATAGACCATTTCATATCGTGTTGTGTAGATTTTATGTTGCAAAAATTAAAATTTTTTTCCGATATTAAACTGAGCTCTTTTATTTATTAATACTTCCTACCTTTTAGAATTTTTTTTCAGTTTAAAATGGGCAACACATACTGCCGACATCAGACATGTCCACGCAAGTGCCATTTGATAAGCAAACCATGCGCTGAAGAATTAAACTCCGTAAACTATGTTGGTCCATATTGTATTGGGATTTAACGAAGGTGTAAAGATTGTTCGTGAAGTTTTCTGGTACCGTTAAATTCTGAAATTTGTGAAGTAATTATTTATGTTAAATTAACATGAACTCGAGTTTCATCACTTCAAATAGCTAGCAAAGGCAAAAAAAAAATTTCATTTTTCTCAATTACCTTATAAATTCACTTACTTGGAATTTTTGTATTAAATTTTTGTCTATTCCCAAATCCTCAGGGGTGAAATTATTGTCTCGTGTAAATGGCGATGTTGTATTTTGGAAAATGACATTTCCGAGGCAATAAGTTAAAAAATCCTCTCGCTCTATTTGAAAAAATGTTTAGTAAAATTAATGTAAAAAAATTAACGATTAGGATAATTTTATGAAAATTATTTTGAAAAATTTGAATTCAAAGTACTTAAATAATGTTTTTTTTTTTTTAATTTGTATTTTACTGCAAATTTAAATGAAAATTAAGTTAGCCGACACTTAAAAATTTTTGATTTTTTTTTTAATTAAAAATTAGAACTAAAAAACTATTTTTAAAAAATTCCACGGATAAATTTTAAAATTTTCTACATGTGAAAATTCTTGTTTTAATTTTTTAAAAAATTATTTTTCAATAAAATGAATTATCAAAATTTTCAAATGTCGGCTAATTTAATTTTCATAAATTTAAATGATACTGAAGTTAGCCCTCAGCTATCAATTAAAAAAATTTTTTTAACAAATCAATTACAATAAAAAAATGCTTCTAAAAATTTTCACTCATCATTTTTATTAATTTTCACATGTGGGATTTTTTAATTAAATTTTTTTTTATAATAATTTAATTGCTATAAAATTCTAAAAAAATTTCTAATGTCTGTCAACTTCAGTGTCATAAATTTAAAAATTTTACAAATAACAGAATAAAAATAAAAATTTGAATTTATTCAAAGACCCTGATTATTATACCTGTAAGAAAATATTTTAGTATTTTAATACCTTCTTTTGGTAAAGACAGAAATAAATGTTGTCCAGGAGGAGTTTCTGCTTCAGTAAAGCCATAACATCCAACTATTAAAGTTACGAATATTAAATAACAAATATTCATTTTTTATTTTATACAAGATTCTTTATTCCTAAAATCAAATATTCAAATATATACATATATTTTAAGACAATAATATTATATATTTATTTCTCGTTGTATCGAAGTAACAAACAAACAATTTTATTCAAAAACTTACTTCTATTCGTAAGGTTATTCACTGATCTCGATGAACTGACAAGCTTCTGAAGAAATAACGATATCATACAAATATATATCGGTACGATTATTAAAATCTTAATCCTTGATAGTATCACAAAAAATAGCAACAGCAAATCCGAGTCATATTTCATATTTCAAGAATTGATAATTAAAAAAATTTATTTTAAATTGTATTTACACTCGAATTTTAAAAATATTTTTATAATAATATTTGTATGCATATTTCTCAATTATGAGGATGAAAATTAAATGGTTTGTACAAATCAAACGATTATACGCACATTATTATTAATTTAAAGTTATGTATTTATAAATCATAATTCGTTAAATCCCTCGATATCTTAAGGGGTCATAAATAATGATAAATAACAATAAATAAAATATATCAAGCAAAATGCTGTAAATAAAGATAAGAAAATTGTATTACATAGATACATTTTCTGCATTAAAAATTATCATTCATTTTTTATAGTTTTTATATTTTTTTCGTTATCAATAAGTCAAAAAAAAAATTTAATATTTTATAAAAGATAATTTTTAACTTTTTTACTCTCTGCAGAGAACATTGAAAATTTTCAAAAATTAAGAAATTTTTTCTCTTCAGTTTAATTAAAAAAGTTGAGTTTTTTTTATTTAATTTTGCTGTTGCGAGAGTTTCTTTGCTTAATTTGATATTCGTTAAAAAGATCTTGTGAATTTTTATTTGAATGAAATTGTCAAACAGCATCTAATTATTTTGCCGATTGGATTCAAAATTTAATAACAATATTTATATTTTTTAAAAAATTTGTTGATTCTCTTAAGGCATAGGGATCGGTATAACTCAAAGCATGAACTTCGCCTAAAGCGGGTATGACCAAAATTGTTTAGACGTTCTTTATATTATTAGTTATATCTTATTATTTTAGTACCGGCTTAATTTTTTGTTCGTGAGTTAATAATTCTTCAACTAAAAGATCCTTTCTGCTGTAATGCAGTTTTATACTTTATTTCTGGTATACATTTATGAATTTGATTGTATTTTGCTTAATAATACTTACTCATTTGCGAAAGACTGGTCAAATGAGTCTAAGGATTGTTATTTGAGTCAGTATAACTCAAGAGTTATTTTTTTTTATGATAGATACATCGCTAAGGTTTCAACATTAGTTTTAATTAAGATTTATTTTGTTTATAGTGCTTACCTACTTTAGATTAAGGGGTCGAGGCAAAGCAGGTTTTCGACGGATCTTTATTTTTCAGTAATAAATAATTATTTGTTACAAAATAACACTGTTTCATGGTTTTATTCTGAAGCTCGATAACTCTCTTATCGAATAGTACCAAATATGTACGTATAGTTAAACAAAAGTTAAGATTTATAATAATAATAATAATTAAGTAGCAGGGAAGTGGACAAATAAAATGACGTAAATCAATATATTAATTATTAATTTAGCGACGTTTCGGTTAAGATTTATGAGTTTTCAACATTAATTTACCCGCTTTAGGTCACCTTTCCTTACATTCACTGAAAAAAAGTTTTCTGCTTAGCACCATCTACTGTATGGTAAAAGGTGTATCGTTATTACGGGTACAATCCGTACAGCTACGAGTAGCAGTCTGAATCGTAACCGTCACGATTTGTTATAAAATTTTTATGGAAGCTTTTTTTCACATCATTTCAATTTTTCATTATCAAAACTTAAATAATGATACACGAAAAAAAGTAAACTGCAATAAATATAACAGTCGATTTATAATAAGTAATGATTAACTGCTAAAAATTATCATTTCAAACAGTAAAATCGTGATTTTACTATTCATTTTATTATATTTACCATTTAAACGTTACAATTTACTCTTTACATGGAAGAAAATACTATTTCAAACAGTAATATTCGCTATGTGAATGTCTAAAATGTTAAAGTATAATAATTAAGAATTCAAACTTTGATATTTATCATTTCGTACCGAAAAAATGATCTTATGATATGTAAAAAGTATAAATTAAAGTTAGTAAATTTCAAATACAAGCAACGTCAATATTTACAAAGTAAAACGGTAAATTTTAAACGCAACGCTAAAAATCAAACTGTAATTATCGACTTGCTTGGACTGGTAAAATGTACATTTTAAAAGTATAATAATTTTTACTGTTTGAAATGTTAAATTCTCCCAGAGTGAGACCCCCTTCTCTTTCATCTGAGTTCCCCTTCTCCTCATAATATGGACTATATATTGAAATGGCAATTTTTACTGTTTGAAACTGTAATTTTTTAAGATGAAAGAGTCATTATTTACTATAGTGACAGCTACTAATCACTTATTTTGGATATTAAATTATAAATTGTGGCTTTTATACTTTCTGCATTAAGTTCTGTAATATTTATATTTTTGCCACCCCGATGTCCGCTTTACTGTTTGAAACTATAAAAATTAATCGGAATCCGAGTGAATATTACAGTTTACTTTTTTCCGTGTAAATTATATATAATTAAAATTTTAAAGAAAATTACCTAAAAATTGATCGTCCGAAGACAAATTCTCAGTTAGATATAATTGAATTTAAAAATCACAGATCCGACTATAATTTGTATAACTTCATACCAAGCTAAGTATTATTAAATTATTATAAAAAATCAATTGTCTAATCTAGCAGTTAACTTCAATAGCGAAATGCTTTATACTCGATTAAATATGAAGTTGATATGAAGTATAATTTTCTAATAAATTTTAAATGCTCTTGTTTTTTCCATACTGGTCATTCACATTCGTGTCTACCAAACTATTATTATTATTATTATTATTATTACGATTTTACTAGTGTCTATGTTATATAACTATGTGTATATAGATGTCTATATATATATATATATATATATATATATATATAGGAGGAACCCCTCTTACACCCTTACATCTCGAATAATTAACGAATTCGTGAGATAGTGCAGCCATAGACAATATGCTACTCTAGATATATCTATCTCCAGACTCGAGACACTAAACTCATCCTGTATTTCTCTTTAGCATCAGCAAGGGTAAAGGCAAAGAGAGTAAAGATACTCTTATGTATGTACTCCGTATCATACATACATATATATAGTGACCAAAAGATGTATATATGAGTGGGAGTATAAACGTTATTCTACCAGACTTATTCTATTATTTACACCATTTTTTTCATTCTTTTTATAACGACAATGCTACAAATAAATTATCACCAGAAAAAAATGAACAAAATTTATTTCTTAGATTTTTTTATTAAAAGCTACAAAAAGTAACAAGACGGGTTAATAATTTATTTTTTATGATATCGATTTTTAACAAAGTAAAAATATTATAAAAATAAAGTTATTTTTATTATTGTAAAAATTAATAATTGAAAAATTTATGAGAATAAGGAAAATTTTGTGACAGGCATATTTTTATTTCAAAAGAGATTTTTATGTCTAGTTAAATTTAGTATGATCAAAAAGGTCTTGATCGAAATTTTTACCTCTTAACGACTTTATATATTTTTGGCGATAGTCAATTTTTTATATCAAGTTTTTGGAGCAGTTTTGAATAGTTTATCGGTTTCATAAGTTTGCTCCATAGAATTTTTCACTAAATTATTAGTAGTTGATTCTGTCACAGGAATATTATTTTTTAAAATTATTTCAAAAGAATCACTTGGTGACTGCGGATTATTTTTTCGTAACATAAATTGAATTAAGAAATAATTTGTTTTTTTACTTACATATTTAACCATTTATTAGTAATTTAAATGAAAAACATTGATGATATATTCAAATTTATTTAATTAAATAATATTAATAATAAAGTATTACTTTGTAAAATTTGTAAGCACACCCAATTCATAGAAATTTTATCACAAAATTTATTATGCTTCTATTGATAACTTACAAAGTATATTTTTTGGAATTTCCGCTAAAAATTCTCAAAAATCTGCTATTTATAAAAATTGAAGACATTTTAATGAATATTCAAGTATACGTATAATATGTGACTCAAATTTTATGATATTCTCTAAAACTTTCAGCTGAAATCAATCAATTTCTCCAATAATGAACAATGAATTTTTTCAAAAATAAAATAAAATAAAAATTTTTATATATTTTATAAAATAGTGTTCATATAACACCATTTCTGATTTTTAAAGTATCTAAAAATCTCCAAGTAATATTTATTATTATTATCATCCATCTGAATTTCAAAATTGTACTGATTTTAACATTACATGGAGAAAATTTTATATTATCTAGTTATGTTAAAATCTATTAATTGAATTCAATAGTAGTAAATATTATTTAAATAATTAAGTAAACCATCTGAATTGTAGTATTTACCATCCTGATGGTAACTACTACTATTATGATGGTAATCAGTAATAATAACTGTTATTATTTTAATTAGTTACTACTATTATCAAAATCGTAATTCCTAATATAACCTCATGGTTACAGTTACCATCAGTAATAATAATAACTACTATCTAAGCTAGTAAAAAATATTAAAAAAATTAAGAATCTGCGTTACCGTGGATATGCATTTCTGAATAAAGGAAAAACAGCTGTAGTGCAGTGTAGTGCACGAAAAATCGGGATTAAATTCGGATTGAATTTATATTTAAATTATTTGTCAAAAACAAGTTTCAACGGCAAATTTTTCAAAAAAAATTTGAAATTTCCAAAAAAATCAAAATTTTAAATAAAATTTAGATTAAAAAATAAAAATTTTTATTTAAAAAAAAAGTTTTTAATCTTAAAAAAAATCAAATTTTCAAAAAAAAATTTTGAAGGGAATTTAAAATATTTTAATATTTCAAAGAAAAAAATGTACATTAGCTAAAATATGGATGTAAATAAAGGATTTAATTAAGTAAACTTATATTATTTTTTCTTTCAGAATTTTTACGATCTGAGATGATTACAGTTACCATCTTCGATTGTAACAGTTAGAATTTATAATAATTACAATTATTATTTTTGATAGTAATCGTTACCATTATTAATAGTAACTATTACAATTGCCAATGATATCACCTATTATTTTAAAATAATTGTTACTAATTAATTTTATTACCATTTTAGATAGTAGGAATTACTATTTTTATATAGTAAGTAGTATAATTAATTTTTCTCCG